CTGACGGTGACGATGCGGCAGTGGCCAGACCAAGAGCAGTGGCAAGTTTTACATCTAATAATGCTAATAAAATAAAATATTTTAGTCATGAAAATGACTTCTATCCGCCACTTATACTAAACTAGCCACTGAACTGTTGTCCTCAAGCGGTGTACTTAAAAGCAGCTGGATTGAGCACCACAGTTTTGTGTTTAAATATACTAGAACATTTTTTGTGGGAGATATCTGAGTACATGTTATCATCTTAGTAGTAACTGTAATGATTCAAAGATTGTATGGGAGTTTCTTGAGTTATCAGAAGAAAACTTTTAAATTTCACCAAAATTGTATTTTTTTTCTCTCAAGGTGACAATCTATGGGTCTCTCATATAATTTTTGTTTACTTAACTGTTCTTCACTGATACAAGAAAATATTATTCCATGCTGTATTGAAGTAGACATGAAAGTGAGAAAAACAAGGACGTACCCAAATATTGTATTTCCTCTCTATGCTCATGTACATTGAGGATTCGTGAGAGCCATAATGAATGGAGCGCAGATTGATTTCCAAATACTACTATCCTACTTGCTTTGTCATTCACGGGTGCGTTATTTCGGTGGTGTTTTTTTTTCTCAGACATTTGTTCGTCGCTCCCAAATGGATGGCAATAAACGATTGATTGGAGATGAAGGACGAGTTTTTCAAGAAAAGTAGACTGAAATGTATTTTTTTTACTGCATCTAAGTAAAAATCGGTATGTTTAATTTGCAATGATTAGTGGCGGTTGCGAAGGATTTCAATTTAAAACGCTATTACATTACAAAGCATGCATCGAAATGGAGAAATTCACTGGAAAATACCGCTCAGAGATGGCGAGTGAACTAAAAGAAAAACTGCGATGTCAGCAGAACGTGTTCAGTTATCGGAAAAATAAAAGTGAAATTTTCATTAAAGCCAGCTACATTGTTGCGGAAAAAAAAGCAACACGCCCAAAACCTTTTACGGATGGTGAATTTGTGAAAGACTGTACAGAAGCAGTATGTCCTGCCCACGGTCGAGTTTTGTCGTAGAGTTGAAGAGATTGCTGGTAATATGAAAAATAAGTTAACGGAAAGAAATGAAAATTTTGTTTATTTTTCGGTGGCATTGGACGATAGTACGGACATCTCAGACACTGCTCAGCTGAAGGTTTTCGTTAGAGGTGTTTCCAGAACATTTGAGGTCACCGAAGAGCTGGCATGTTTATTTCCGCTCAAAGGCACAACAAAAGGGTATGATATTTTCAACGATTCTAAACCAACTTGGCTTGGATTTGAAGAAACTGGCAAGTGCGATCACCGACGGTGCTCCAGCAATGATTGGTAGGTATACTTTTTTTAAGCATTTTAGTGAACACAGGTCATATATTTTTTGTCTGTCCTCACAGGGAAGTTTGAAGGTGCCATTGCTCATCTCCGGAGACAACAACCCGACCAGAACGTTATAACAAAATTATATCATGATTATATCAACTTCTGTTATGCATAACAACCGTTGATATAATCTTGTTTTAAGAGCTCTGTGGTGAAATGAGGAATACAAAATCATCATGGTATTTGATATAAAATTGTTACACAATTTGTTAGAATAAAATTTCAAACAACATTAAAAAAAAGTTTTTTAGCCTTAGTAGCACGAAAAACGAAACGGTTTGTTTTATTTTAATTTTTGTTACCAGTGTTGAGCCGGTAGTTGAATTTAAATTTATTTAAGGGCTACGGAATTTTTTTTCACATGGAATTGGGCTACACCGACTTCAGTAAAGCATTTGACCGCATCGACATACCATTATTAATCCTCAAATTGCAGAAAATAGGAATGGAGCCTGGACTTTTGAATTGGCTTCAATCATACCTAACACATCGTAAACAAATAGTTCGCTTTCAAAATAAACTTTCAGAGCCAATTTCAGTCACCTCTGGGGTACCCCAGGATTCTCATTTAGGCCCACTTCTTTTTATTTTGTACATAAACGACATTTCCTACATACTTAAAAAAATTAAATTGCTTGTATATGCAGACGACATGAAGCTCTTTATGGAAATAAGTAATTCTAGCGATGCAGAAGAATTCCAGAATGAAATCAATATATTCCACACCTGGTGTAGTAAAAGTCTACTTCAACTGAACGTAAAAAAATGTACTGCAATAGCATTTAGCAGAAAAATTGAAACATCGCATATTGAATTATCATTAGGCAACCAAATAGTAGAAAAAAGCAAAATTGTAAGAGATCTAGGTGTAATCCTAGACTCCAAACTTTTATAGAACATTATAATACTATCATTAGTAAAGCAAACAGAATGCTAGGCTTCATCAAAAGGTTCAGTCATAATTTCGAAGACCCATACACTATTAAGCTTTTATATACCACATATATAAGGCCAATTCTGGAATACTGCCACCTAGTATGGAATCCATACATTTCCATACACGAAGAACGCATAGAATCTGTCCAAAAACAATTCCTTTTATATGCTTTACGTAAATTGAATTGGACTGCATTTCCATTACCATCTTATGAAGCGCGCTGCATGCTCATCAATATACAAACACTTAAGGAGCGCCGCCAATTTGCAATGCTTTTCTTCATCAACGACATTATTTCAATGCGCATAGATTCGGCAGAAATTCTCGCACAATTAAATTTTTACACACCTTGTCGATATCTTAGAACACGGAATTTATTTTCAGAAACATCGTACAGAACAAACTATGCAAAAAATAGCCCAATCAATCGAATGATGCGCCTATATAATTTGCATTGCGGAACTATTGACATCACCATGTCCAAGCAGCAAATAAAAACTAAGCTAAAACAGAATAGAATTAATGCATAGTATGTAAGTAAACATTGTAATAATCATTGTATGTAGTCTACACTGGCTTGACGAAATGGAAATAAACAAATGTCCCTAATGTCAGCCTAAGTGTCCATAATATTGGGCCCATAATTTAATTTCGAAGGCAAGCATTTTTTTGATAATGATAAACTAAAAATCAAACAAATTGTTTTATTTTGGAGGAGCTTGAGAGTAAACCCACGATATTCTACTCAGTAAGCAAAAACTGCAGCCACCAAGCTAGCCGAGCTCCTCAATTTAAACCCTGGGACATAATTTGGAAATTTTTTTATGAATACTAATAGAATTATAATGCAAACAAATTAAATAAAAAGAAAGTATCTCACCCCAATGATCTGTAATTAGCCAGCCTGTTCGTGATTCTTAAGATCAATTGTTCTCGCAAATGGAGCTCCATCTCCTTGATCCTGATAATAACGAAATCAGTTTCCCCTTGCTCTGGCCTCGGGAAGACGTGCATCGGAATAAACGCACCGTCATTGCAGCATTGTCGATAAACCTCCAGATGTTGGCTCACGATCTAACCACAGACAAACAGACGTAACTCTTCATTGTGTATCTTCGTTCATGCATTTAACGGTTGATTTGAATATTATCAGTTCCGCGAACTACTCGCCGCAGCGCTGGCATCGGATCACTTTGACGTTTCTATATATTCTATAGAAATTTCATGCAATATTGTTTACGAGTTAGCGAGCAAGCTTGTTTTCCGCGAGAAGCCAGATAGATGTCGCTACTGAGGTTATATGTTTTGAGATATTATGTTTTCAAGAACAAGTTTTTCAAAGAGTTACGTCTGTTTGTCTGTGATCTAACTGTTACATTCTCAGATTCAAACATTCCAATACGCAAAAACTCATGTTAATAAGAAGCTTCACAATTTGTTAAACACAGGAGCAAAATTCAAACACGACACTTCTTCCCTAGTTGGGCAAAAGTTTGTTTCTATGAAAAACTTGAAAGCTGGTACAATTTGCATCTTTGAGTCTTAAACGTAAGAGGGACAAATAATGGTACAAAAAGTTGTGTAGATCAAATAGTGATAATTATTGGAATAGGTACACGATGGCGCGTAATAAATATTCACAATCACAATAAAAAACCCGAATTTATCCACCTATGGTGTGATCAGACCCTTCTTACTTATTCAAGTTTATTTATTTTATTGTCATTATCAGTGACCAAGCCCCCCACCCCCGTGTCATCCAGTGACGCTACGCCACTGCCTGGGGGTACCCGGAATATATCCGGGTGTAGTCTATTTGGTGAGGCTCACCTTATCATCACCTTATCATCGTATTTTAATGTGATTTAATGGGTTTTAATTCAATTCATATTCAAGCAACTTCCCCGGGGTACCCGGAACATGTCCAAGTGTGTCCAATGTGGTCTGGAACACTTAACACGACTTGCATTGATCTTATTTTTGAATTCTGTAGTAATTTGATGTGTCGCATGATGGTTTTGATACGTTTTCCGTTAAATCCAGCGTGAAGGCCCATATTCACCGGATCTTATTCCGGCCATATCTCCGGAACCGGTTCACCGATTCCAAAACCGTTCAATAGCGTTCAATGGGACCCCAATCGGTTGAGCGGTTGCTGAGAAACGTGAGCGCATTCATTTCGTTACATACACACACACATACACACATACACACATACACACATACACACATACACACATACACACATACACACAGACAGACATGTTCCGATCTCGTCGAGCTGAGTCGAATGGTATATGACACTCGGCCCTCCGGGCCTCGGATCGATAGTCGGTTTTTCAAGTGATATCTATACCCTTCTTTGTAAGAAGGGTAAAAAACTCGTTGTGAATATGTCCAGAGGAAGATTGATCAGCATCAAAACAACAGCAAAGAGTTATGGTAAATTTGGAAAAATTTATAATCGCAAACCTTAGGATTTTCACGCAATTGTAGAAGCAACTGTGAACTGTGAACCAGTTCGTTTTTGTTTGCTAATCTGGCTAATATGTTGAACTTAATTATCTTAAAAATAAATCGTTCAGTTCAAACCATTGTGGGGGAAAGCGGTGGGGCCATCATCAGCATCATCATCATCATCTTTATCATCAACTATAAGTCAAGTACTTACGGATCTCGTCGAAGTAGAAAGGAAAATCTCCTGGCATCGAGCAATTCAAGCGTGATTTCAGATATGTAGTCCATCGATTTTTAAACCGATGTGGGCCACCTTTATCCCATTTGCAAACACGTGCCACGCGGCTGAAGACGGCCTGAAACCGAAAACAACAAATTAAGAAAGACATTATTTTTTAAGTAAATAACCCATGCTCGACGAAGGAGTTGGCTTGCGGAAATGCGAAAACAATCCAGGATAACGGAAAGAGACGAACGTAAAAGTTGCTTACCTTGCCACAGTTGATGAATTCGACGGCCGTCTCGCGGAAGAAGAAGTAGACAAAGTCGCCCTGCGTGAACGAACCGACGAAGTTGGGTGCTGAAATATTTATGAACGTGATAATGGTCAATTTACACCTGTGCGCTTTGGTCATTAATTATTCATTTATTTGTCGATTATTATTAAACAAAAATTACGGCGGGATTCAGCGGATAAGGAGAATGGAAAGGTGAGAGTAGGCACCTCTACTAGACTAGCCCATATGGTAGTGATCGGCAATGTTTTGCTGACGGTATATGTTAATTCCACTCATGGGAGCGATTGGCAGCATTGTTATTATGATTGATTAAACATATCCAGTCGTTGGGTAACGGAACGGCGTGGGTTGCAGAAACTGATACCTATTTCTATACAAACAGTCCCATTCATGATTATTTTTGTAATCCACCATAGACCTTGCTAATTAAAACTGGTTGCTGGGATATTATGTTGATAACATGACTAATTTATTGATATTGTTATTCAACAATACATTAGTTTGGTATGACAGCTTTTGTTTTAGCTATGAACGTCCACATCAATGTTAAATAAGTTCTAGTATTAAAAGTATGGCGTTGACTCATTAAATATGAAAGGATAATTAGGTAAATAGCCCAGTGGTGCAAAAGTGGATACAAGCTTAATCTAAAAAAAAAGCAGTTTCTTTACTAAAGGATCAAATGAAATAAATATATAGGGGAAATAGATGGAATGTCGGCCTAAATGTCCCTAATTTGGGCCCATACATGAATTCTGTAATTGACTAAATTTTCAATAGCGACCAAAAATATCCATTAGTACCGTACCAATGACGCGTTCATCTAGATTAAATTGATAAATAGCAGATTTTTAGTGATAGGCCCAATCTTAGATCCATAGCCATTTCCCCTAGTGCATCTAGCCGAACGAGTGAACGACCGCTTTGTTCTAAATAATTGTAGTTCTCAAGGGAGTAGTCAGGATTTCGCAAACGAGAGAGTCTTTTTGTTTGTTTGTTAGTGGCTCATATATGTAGGTTATATTTATTATTACTGAACCAGATTTATAAAAAAGAACAGCAAAATGGCAAAAGTAGTCAGCAATTTTTAACTATCCCTAAGAACTTATGTAAGTCTGAAATCTCGCAATAATTATTTGCAAAAACATCAATTCATCAAAATTTTCCTTATCCCAAAACTATTGTGCCAAACAAAACACTTTTAAAACTTTACCAAAATTTGTTGTTATACGATTGGGTCAGCTTTTAAGTGTCGCCTTAGAAAACTTCAGAAAAGCTAGCATTTCAAAAAAGCATTTACATAAAAAATAATTTAAAAATTGAAAAACGGTCAGTGCAAAAAAAAAAAGAGTTCACAAATTCGTTTTATTTTTTTACTTAGAACCAGAGCCGAACTCATGATTTTTGATTAGGTGGCGAACTCTCAGTTTTCCGCCCCTCGCTATATTCTTGAATTATCAAAGAAAGATCTCAGTGTCTATTCTGGTTTAATAACAGGACATTGGCCATGTAAATATCACTTGACACTAATAAGAAAACTTCAAGAGGATATGTGTCGATTCTGTGACATAGAAAAGGAAGACTCAGAATATCTGCAATCTTCAACGCCATTTGATATTAGTAATTAGAATGCTGCTTCCAGCCTAGTAGTACATATCAATTAAATTGTCTGGGAAATGCTTTTGGCCAGTTGGTCAGTTGGTTGCTTCACATAATATTGATGCGGCATACTGACAAAGCAATATTAAAACGGGGAATATCAGTAATGGTCGCAGTGATGAATGCACACAACACAGAATACAAATACAAAAGGGTTTAAACGATTGTAGCTGGGTCTATTAGGGATGAATCATCATTATTATCACTCCATTTGAATTAGATTTCATTTAACACTTGTTTGGAATTAAAATTTTGTTTGATTATCAATAGGAAACTATTGATAGTTGATCAAGCCTATCGAGTGTAGAAAGACGAGCGTATCCCTAACACGGACGATAATTTTAGATACTAAAACACACACTAACATAAAATCAGTTATTGAACAGTCCGGATTTTTTTTTAAGATTTGGGCGTAACTGTTTTTGTGAACAATGGCTTCAATTACCGATTTTTCGAAAATAAACGCTCGGTTTCACAAATAAACCATACCTGCTATTAGATGAATCACTCCCTTACCTTTTTTTCCTTTGGTTTGTTTTTTCCGTCGAAGGCAGCTCCCACACCTGGACCCTACCTATCGACCCATCAACTCATGAACCGGGGACCAACGGTTTTACTTCCCATCCGAAGGAAGGCGTGATCAGAGATGTTATGCCTCAGAACATCCCGGCGGCGCCGACTGGGATTGAACTCAGGCCTGCTGGGGTGAGAGGTAATCACGCTTACCACTACATCACCGGCGCCGTTACTGACTCCCTTACCTGAATGTGTTGTTAGTTTGCGAGATTGAGCTTTTATTCACGATAAATCGGTGATAGAAGTTATTGCCAAAAGTGAATTTATGTGACCCACCATTGATTGAGAAACGCTGATCTAATTAATGTTGCCGTATTTTGTTAACAAGCATTCGTCATAAACCTGTACACTTACAATTGAAGGAAGTTTGTCTCCGTATGTTGGGAATAATGCTCTCCATTTAAAGTGAATATAATGTTAGTTGCTCTAAAGGAAGTCAAATAATGGTAGCAAAATTCAGCACTGATGACAGTAGTATTAAAGAATGGTTAGGGCTAGCTAGATACAAATAGGTCGAGGAAGGAGCAGAATGGTAATTGGAAGGATGACGGAGGGAAACTTCACTTAGTCATAAACATAAATTAGTGACATTTTATTACCATTCAGGCTCAAACTGTCGTACTGCTCGGTCTGCAATGGTTCCCGGTAGATAATTGGGTCAAGACCGCTGAAATCAGCCACCGTGCCGGAATAGAGTTCGTTATCTGGAAAGGAAAGAAAACAGACAATAATGAGAACGGCAATAAGTGAAAATAGGGAATTCGGAACGAAAATGATTTCTTCCGGACGCGGCAATGAGAGGAAGAAATACGTGCGTTCTTTTTTCTTTACGTGATTGGCATCCGGTTTGGTTTCTGGGAAGCTCCCCACTGGGAGCTTGGACAACGGTAGGTAGGAGTTTGTGTTGGTTCATGTTGGTCGAAGCCAATTTATTCCAAAATCGATATTATACGTGATTTTGTCATCTGTTTTTTTTTGTCGCTTGAGAGTTGACGAAAAATAATGACACACATCAATTTCTTTAGCAAAGAACGAGTCCTTTCTGTTCAGAAAATTCAATGTTGATGAGGAATGTATTTCAATTTTTAAACATTGACAACGAAGATAAGCGTAGATGTTGACGCGGACTGTGGATTGATGGCGCATAAAACCAATTGCTGTTGATGTTGAAAAGCGAACTTAAAATTGTTATGGGCATTCACACTTTTTCTATAATTCTGTCATTTTGTATTTTGAAAAAAAAAATCAAAATGGCGTATTCAATTTTATTCAACAAATCATAACTCGATAAAGCCACTTCCAATCGAAGTGACGTGTGACACAAAATTGTGGTAAATTGAAGTTATTTTGAAAAAAAAGATAAAATAAAGAACAACCCTTTTAAAAATTAGGAATATTTTTTAATAAAAAACTCATGCGAAATGTTAGCTTCTGTCATATTTTCAAGTTGATCACTTTAAAATTGACGAAAATCATAAAACAAAACTTTTGGTAAAATTTTGAACTTATTTTTATAAACAGAAAATGAGTTGGAAAGTAAATAAAAAGTTTTTTGTGCAAAAATTATCTAAAAAAAAAGTAGTTCAAAGATTCAACCAACAGTTCTTCTATAATGTTTGTAGATTTTATGTGTCCAAATTGAAAATTTAACAAAAGTTATTATTTAACAATGACCTTTTCAATAAAACATGTGAAACAAGTAATTTTGAGGTAATTACGTTTACTTTTTTTTAATGTATTCTCTAAATCATTTGTATTTGTTTTACGTTAACGATGCTTTAAGGTTCTACAAAGGGCAATTAAATTTGTATTCGTCTTCTTTTTGAAATATGCTTCAATCATCATCTTTGGTTTACACAAACATTCTCATATTATTAATACAAAAATTTAACACTTGTATTTCATGGTTTTAGAACGAAAAATTCCGGGGTAAAACATATTCACTGTATTTACTTACTTGTGTTCTTCGAAGCTTAGCACAATAACACACAATCGAATACACAAAATCCAAAACAACTGCTACTCAAAACTCTTGGTGAACAAAATTGAACACCAAGAAAACCACTTCAACTTTACTGCTTTGCCGGCAATCGTAAAAGTATCATTGAAAAAGCGTTGCCAGATGTATTGCCTCTAGCAATGGATTTAAGTTTATTAAAACAAGCAATTGTGAAGTTTGACTCATTAATATAGATGAGTGGATGTATTTAATGGTGAATAAATATCAGTAACTGAGTAAATAAAACAAAAACGACCATTCTAGGCATTTTACCGGTCCAATTTAAAAAGCCACAGAAGATTGAATTCAACACTAACAGGGTTGATGGCAGCAGTGCACGTAGCCTGGTATTCGCTTTCCCGCTCAGGGGTGTAAACAAACTTGCATAAAGCGAAGTCTGGCAGTGTGAACACACACACATTTGCTGTTGTATTGTAATGAAGGAAGAAAAGTGATGGTTAAATTTTCCTCACCATACCAGTTGATATTTATGAAACATGGGCAGTTTTGGCGTGGGGACATGCACTTCCAATGAATTTTACCCATACATTTAGAAAACGATGATCGAAGAATATTTCAAAAAGAAGAAGTAAACAAATTATTGACCCTTTGTTGAACCTTAATGGCATGCTGCGGTTGTGAATTGAAATGCTACTTTTCATCTGCATTGGCAAAACATGAAAAGTACTGTGTGGATCATAATGCGTCTCCACCAAACGCTTAAAAATTGAGGAAACGTGACATCTTTCATTGATCGTCTTCATGACTGCGTTTTTTTTACTGTTAAATCATGCATTCACCTCATTCGGGTTAACTGGAACATTTTTGGATGTTAACATAAATCATGCATATATGTGAACAAACAACAACAAAAGGGATTTATTGCAAGAGTTAAACTTTCGTCCACGACATACGGATAATCCAGCTACTGCAGTGTACATATAGTAGTTTCTCGTAAGGTCGATAGAGAAACCCATATTTAGACACAGACGGATGAATGTGTCTGGTGGTCAGCATTCGCAGGGAGGAGCCACGGGGAAAAAATGAGTCGCTAATCCACTTTCGCTTGGCGAGCTGCTTTTGTTCTACGCCTTTTTTCACTGACCGTTTTGTCAGTAATTTACCTGGCCTTAGCGATGATGCAGGTTTCACTTCTATCGTTCTTTGCACCATCATCACGCTGGAAAGCGGTGACGAAATGGATATCTTTCAGTTTCAGTGTTTTCGTCTGCCCATTGACATTGGCCTCCAATGTTCATTAGAGATGAACGACAGAGACAAAGCTAGACGTCCCAGGGCGACTACCAACAATGCGCAGATAAAAAAGGAGCTGATGCAGAGAGTTAACGGAAGGATTTACCCAACGGCAAAAGAGCTACAAGAACATAAACCTTGTCATTTACAGATGAAATCCATTTCAGACGTTGTCATTGTGATAAAGGGAAGAAGAAAAATTGATACAATTATTAATACAGCGGTGCCATTGCATGATTTCGTTGGGTGGCATCCAAGTGAGAATGTTAGCCATTTGGCGGAATTGTTTTGTCACGGGTCATTTAATTCGATGTAAAGCATTAATGCTTTTCTGCTGAAAGTTACTATTTTATTCAAGATAAGTTGCAACGCAACCAAGGATGGATGCGGAAAATTATCATACAGTTTATATTAACAGAGCTCATATATTCGGCTATATGGGTCCTCAAATAGCCTTGTCAGTTGAGGCACGGTATTATCCAGCTGGAGGTGGCGGGTTCGGTTCCCGGTCCAGTCTAGAACATCTTTCGAGTTGTAACTTTCGTGACTTCTATGGGCTAATTTTCTTGCCACACAATATACAAATTCATGTATGGATTGGCATAGAAAGTTCTCAATTAATAACAAAGGAAGAGAATGAAGAACACTAAGTTGAGAGTAGGCGTAAGTGTGTCAAGGCAAAAGCTTCCATTTCCCGACGGTTTTAAGCTTCCTGGGAAAGGATTCGAGAAATTTAAATTGCTTTTCCCTGGAAACCCTCGGTATCCTGGGAATCGAATAATGATAATGATAATACGTAAATAATCGCTTGCTGTATTTTTATTGAATTACTGAAATGTATGTGTTTCTTGCATCATTTTTTATTGAATTCCTGAAGTGTATGTGTTTCTGGACAATGCAACAGTGATCATTCATAAGCATCTAAAGTAGCGAACGAAAGCAACAGTACTTTTTTGAACATTTCTCAAGAATGAAAACTCACACAAATAATTTAGCTAGCTTTATCTGATATCTGCAGATAGTTATTTATTTACAAGATATTTCATTTACAGACTTGGACCATTATGAAACTGTCAATAGGCCAGATTTATTTTTTTCAGAATTTAAAGTGGTTTGTCTCCCTCTGGAGAAATAATTAAATAAAACTCTGACCAATCCACCTAGCCGTTGCATGTTCCTTTCTCATGCAGTATTAAAACACTTTCCTAATAAAAAAAATGCCATAAAAAGGGGAGGTATGTAAACGTACCACTAAACCGATGAAATGTTCCTTATGCTTTTTATTATTATTTTTATAGTCCCTTTAACACGTGACTTGTCCAGGGATGCGATTTGAACTTGTGAATTTAGCGTGAGGGGAATGGATGTTCCTGAAGAAGCTTCTTAAGACAAAACAAAATATTATTTTTCTGGCACGTTTTGATTTTTCAAAAATATTGGAAAAATACATAAAAAATACAAGAAAATTGATTTTTTTCTTAGATCTATGTAAAAGTATTTTGTCTATCTTATCATGAAAAAATGTTGGACTCTAAACAAAAATAAAAATTTCGATTTATGAAATAATGATTCTTTTCAAAATTTGTGATACATTTTTCCCATATATATATAAATATTCTTGAAAAATGATAAACTATTTTTTTTAGGACGGTACCCACTAAGAAGATTCTAAAAGAAACTTCTTTTGGAAGCTCATTCTGGACGCTTGCTCGTCGTTCCGCTCTCTGGCTAAAAAAAAAAAAAACAAGGTGCAGGACAGTTGATTGGGATAAAATTCAAAAGGCTTATATGGGAGTCAGGCATCGGTACCGATTGCATACCGAGATAGATAAGAAAAAATCATAGTTTTAGAGGGGTATATCACTTTTTTGTTGATATCTTCGGAACCAGTTGTCCGATCCGGATAAAAATTAATTAATTTATATGGAAGTCATACAAAATGAAGGGGTAAAATATCATAGTTTAATATTTAAATTTCATTTTCAAATATCTCCGGATCCGAGTCGGAATAACATTCAATACAGATGCTTGGGATATATAAAGACAGATACAAAAACAATTAAACCGGTTACATTCGAATCCGTTCATCAATACGTGAGTAAAATGGAATATTAACATAGTTTTAGAGCAAAATTTAACATTTTTGATCATAAATCCCGAACCAAATTTCCGATAAAATTCAATAGGGTTCTATGGAAGTCAATTGAAAACAAAATTGAACACTCGAATCCGTTCAGCTCCGAGAAAAGTGAGTGAGTGACTCATACGTTTATTAAATTATTTTATTTGTTTATTTACTTGACCCTCCGGGCCTCAGATCAAAAATTAATTTTTCAAGTGATAATATAGCGGTAATTTAAATCAAAGTGGAGCAACCCGGAAGTCTTTCTAGAATTTTCACAGGATTTCCTAAACTTGTATGAAATAAGTTAATGTACTTTGAGATTCTCT